ATGTAGACATATGTAGGTATTTTGACCAAAAAAATTATTCGTCTAATTTATTTATTTAATATTTATAAAATAGAATATCTTCATTTTTTGCGTTCATGTTTATTAAATTGTAATAAATTATTTTGCGGAAAAGACGACGATACATATATTTTATTCATGATGATGCATCATCACATTTCTATTAAACTATTTTGAAATCTTTTGAATTCATATTTCGGAGGATTGGAAGAAAATCTATCATATTTATAAGATTTAATTTAAATTCTAAATTTTTTTCTTTGACACGATTAAAAATATACATAATCATATCGAATATAAATATACATAATCGTATCGAATATAAATATACATAAATCGGATCAATAAATAAGAAATACTAACTAAAATAATTTTATTTTTTGGATTTTTAGATGAACAAGGTATATAAGATAAAAATTTTAAATTCAAATATGAAAATATTTTGAACAAAATTCATTTAATTAATGACAAAATTTCAATATAATTTTTCAAAAAAACGTGGTCTGTAACCCATAATTTTTTTGGAACATCTTTATTTTTACAATAAAAAAAAATTTGATCTTGAAATTTGATCGAAATCAATTTTGCGGAAATTTTTTTTACAAATCTTTCTCGGATCCAAAAAAGTAAAATAATGTAATAATTAAAACATAATATTTTATATATATTCTCTATAAAGAAATGTAATATTTGAACATAATACATCTTAAAATCTCCTGAGTTATTTTATAAATTTCAGAAACTTTTATGTATTTTTTTTCGTAAGATTTAATTACATTTTGTAGATTTTTTTCAACCAATTTTATTTTATTTTTTTTATTTATTTATATTTATATATCATTATAAAAAAGAATATATACTACTATATTCTTATATATATATATATACTACTATTCTATATTCTACTACTATATACTATTTATAAATTAATAATTTATACACATTAATATTATGTAATTTAATTACATTTAACTAGATAATATTATATATTATTTAGATAATTAGATAGAATAGAATAGTTTAATATAGATAGATTTAATTATATATATTAATATTATACTCTACAATTCATAGTTCATGTGTTTATTCTATTTTACTGTGTCCATCTCATACAAAACTATTTTTGTTGACAAATATAAATTTTTAAATAAAAAGAGAAAGTTATATAAAATAAAATAAAAATGTTAAATTTCATAAAAATATTTTTAATATTTCAAACTATAATTATTTATTAATTATAAATATTATAATTGTAAATTATTTCTTTTTTTTATAGTTAAAAACTCATCAAAATTGAGTTTTATATCTATAAAAAATTTATTTTAAATAATATTTTTTATTTATTATAATCGATTTTTTTTTTAATTTCATTTATTCGTTCTTTCAAAACGAAATATTTAAAAAATATTCAAAAAACATGATATTTAAAAAATTTTTAATCTATATCTATATCGCTATTTTTCTATTATATATTTTTATATATGTATAAAATGAGAATTACAAATTATTTAATTTATATAAATAAATTCATTAATATTTTTTATTGATTTGTTTTTCATTTTTAATGTAATAAATTGCTTTAATATTATTAATAGATAAACATGAGAAGCATTGTATTTGATTATATATCATCATATGCAATTTTGAAAAAGTTCATTTTTTTGGAGTGTCAAAGAAAATTATGAAGTATTCAATAAAAAATGATAAAAATGATATTCAACATAAAAATATTGAAATTTCTACTAAACGCATTATCGAACAAAACAAAATGATGAGAATTTATTTTCTCTTTTATTTAACAAATATAATTATTACAAATTATATATAGACAAAGGCTCTTTTAAATGTTCATAGGCTCTTTTAAATCAAATAACTTTTTTAAAATTAAACCAAACGATTTGAATTTTTTTGATATGTTAAATAATTTATTTTATAATGTAAAATATGTAAAAAAATTTTTTAAATTATTAATCGGATTATGAAGAAAAAAAAAAATTATGATTTTTAACTCTTTTATTTGACTCTGTAATGATTTAAAATAAAATTTCATCAAAATCAATTGTTATGAGCTATAAACGACCAATAATATTTAAATTTACGATTTTTTTACGATTCTCAGCCTATAATTATAATAAATTTAAAAAATTTTATATTTTTCGATATTTGTAATTTTTTTATATCAATCAATTTTGATAAAATTTTGTGCATATATGTATAACTTATTTAGATCTATAAAATATTTTTTAAATTTTTATTATAAATTTAGATAAAAAAAATACTAAAAATCATGATTTTTATTTTTTTTCATAGCAATTTTTTAAAATTTTAACCAGCAATTTTAAATTTTTTTAAAAATTTTTTTATCGAAAAAATTAAAAAAAGAAACTTAAGAATTTTAATTAAGAATTTTAATTTTTTAAAATTAAAATTGAATGATCATATTATTGAAATATATTGTTTAATAATTGAAATATTTATAATATGATGTATTTGAATAGGAATTAAATCAAGACTATACTTATGGTCCATCTAATTATATATATATAATTGAATATTATATAATTATATTATAAATATTTATCAACAATTATTAAAATTTATAAAATATAATTGTTGCATTTATTACAAATAAGTTTAATTCAAAATCAATTATAGGAGACATATTTTATACATTTTTTATATATCTAAATATCTATATAATTTGGGAAAAATTTAGAAGACAGAAAATTTAGATATATTAAATATAATAATCAACTGAATATTGTAGAACTAATCATAAGTAATATAATTAAATCAAATTTATTAACTATTCTAAATTCAGTACATAAGGAAGATATAATTGCACGCACTATTTATAATATATATTATTAATTTTTTACTATCAGATGTCAAAATATTATTGTCATTTAAATAAAAAAAATCAATTGAAAAAAGATAAAAATAAAAATATATAATATATTTATAAACTAAAAACTATAAATATTTAATATATTTGATTATAAATTTTATATATGCATTATTATCTAATTTATTATAAAATAATTGCATTAAAAATATTATTTGTTACAAAAATTTTGTATTTTGTTATTTGTATTGTGTTGCTATATATTTGTTTATATATTAATATTGCTATATTTTTCTTTTAATGTATTTTTTCTCATAATTTCTTATTTGTATCTCTCAAATTCAGTAATAAATGAAATAATTTTAAACTGCTGCTTTAGTATTAGTTCTTAACAAAAAATTTTGATATTTTACATTATTTTTCACATACATATTTATTTATTTATTCAATAAATATAAGATATAAGAATTAAGCTTTAAGTGCAATAAAAAAAATCAAGATTTTCAGTTTATAAAAAGAGGAAAAATATTGAATTATTATTATTAATTTTAATTTATATATTTAATTGATGTATTTGTCTAATTATAATGAAAATAATAAAAGAAAAGAGATATAATATATTATGATATTATTATGATATATTAATATATAATATATATTATGTGGATCAATTAGAAAAACAAAAAAAAAATATGCAATATATCTGCAAGATCAAATTTGACTTATCACTTCTAAATGCAGATATTCGTAATAATTCTTCTCATTGGATGAATTGCAAATATGAATATGATATTCTAATATGTTTTAAATCATTAATTTTACATATGAATAACTTTTAAATCAATCTAAAAAATTCTAATTTTTTAATTTCTGAATTTAAAATTAGTATTTTTGGATTTTACTATTAAAAAGTTATTAATAATTTTTGACACTCCAAAATAATCTTAATTTTTTTATATATTTTTTATATATTTTAAAATATTAAATTTATATATATATAAAACTTATATAATAATATATATAAGTTTATATATATATATATATAATTGTAAAATACTAAAACTGCATAACAGACAATAATTGTCTGGATCAATAGAACTAATATATAATATATATTTATATTTAAATGTTGCATGTATAATATATTAATCTATGTGTTTTTTATTTGCAGAATAAATTCATTATTAAGCATAAGATTTCTAACTTCAAGATGGGTATTGTACAATGATTATATTTTTCTTCATATGTATGGTATACATAAATTACTATTTATCTTCTTACAATATTATTATTATTATTACGATATATCTCATCAATACTAATGTATTTTATTTGATTTTTTTTTTTGTTTTTTATAATTCATCAATTCATGGTAAAGCAAAAAAAGTGAAATAAGATATTATATACAAATATATATAATTCTTCCTGAATAAAATGGCTACATAAAAAATCAAGGAATAAGAATAATACATAAAATACAAGAAATAATTAAAAAAAATAAAACAAACAATTTGTAATCAAGTCAAATCTAATTTTAATTTGTTATCTTGTATATTATAAATATAAATATTTTATATATTTCTAAAAAATATTTTTAAAATAAAATATGAAATATTAATTAAAATATTTAATGAATTGGTTTGATAATTTTGTATTTTATAATCAAATTGTATGTTGAATATTATTTTTATTTATTATAATATTTATATATTATTTACATATATATAATTATTAAAAATAATATATATATTTAAATCAATTAGAAAATCAAATAGAAAAACAAATTATTCTATTTTCATTATTTTCATTTTATTTCTTATTTCATGATGCCAATTGAACTTCCGCTATTAATAAATACAATGTTGGCAACCATGACTTATAGATAATTAAAATTAGATGTGATTGCTGTGATACAATTTTGAATTTTCTTAAATTTTTATCATATGATTTCATTTATTCCAGTGATTTAATTATTAAATTAATAATCATCAATATAATTCAATATAATTTCAAATTCGTATTAAAAACTTTAAAATTAAAAAAATAAAAAAACTTAAATGATCAGTTCAATCAACTATTTCATTTATTTATTATGAAATTTATATTTCATAAATTAAGAATTATATATTTTTAAAAAATTACAATATATTTGTAATGCATATTAACATTGTAATAACAAACAATATTGATGTATTCAAAAAATAAATTTTAAATAAATTTTAAGAAAATAAATAAGTAATTTTAGTTAAGTTACTTTAAAATACAAGAAATATAATAAAAAAATTATATATGTATATTTATTTAATATATATATATATATTTTTTTTTAATTTTTTACTTCTTGAGAATCTTCAGTCTCCCAATCGCTTAAATTTTCTTCCCATCCATTATTTTCTTCAACTAATTCGTTTAATACTGTCACATCAAATACACTTTTTATTATTTGTGGTTGTTGTACATGCAAAATTTGTGTTTTTTTTATCACAGGCTCCATATCTGTGAAATAATTATATTCTTCTTTAATGGAATCAATTAATTTTGAATTTTTAATATCAAGTTCTGAAATATCGGATAAAATAGACGACTTTTTTGTTAATTTTAATTCAGTAGTTTTATTTTTGTTTAATACTACATCTGTAGTAATTTTCAATGTTGAATTAGGAATTGAAATGTCATTGGATTTTGATTGGAATTGAGATATTTTGTTGGAAGGCTGTAAAATTTTAAGAATGTTTCCTGTTTCTTGTACATCCCAATCAGACCATGTGTATTCTTCTTCGATAATTGAAGATGTAATCTCTTTTTTATCTTCACCACCATCTGGAGATGGTCTTTCAGGTAAATCAATTATTTTTTGAATACTCATAGGAATAGTAAGTTGAGCAATATTTATGTTATTGTCAATTTCGTTGTTATCTTTTAATTTATTTGGTCGTCCATCTGTAAATAACTTTCCTCTTTTTCCGCCAATTACAGTTGCAGCACCTAGGATGGGAACTATATCGGCTAATGCTTTTAATGTTGCAGATACAAGATGATCATTTGTATCTTTAATTCCAACAAGTAATTCAGGAAGTATTTGAGACTTTAATTCATCATCTTGAAATGTGTAAACAAATGAATTAAAATGTGATAAAAGCACTAAACGTATTGATACATCTCGTATACAAAACATCTGCAACAATTTGGGTACCAAGTAGACTTTAAATGTAGAAATTGAAAATAAGTTACTACTTGTCTTGTCATTTTCATCTATAAATAAAATACATGGAATCTTTCGAATTATATTAAGTATAATATATTATTATTTAGTTTTACCTTTTGGTTTTAAAATAAATGGTAAAAGCTGTTCTTGAGCTGTTATGTCTAATAAAACCATTCTTGAAAGCAATAAACGACCTAATTGTTCTGCAATAATATTTTCAGGAAATATCTTCAATTTTTTTATTAAGGTTCTATAATATAATTAAAAATTAATTCAAATATTTTATTTAATTAATATAATAATAATTTATTTAATTAATAACTTAATATTTTATTAATTTTATGGAATCAATAATAATTTGTTTATATTTTTATAAAAAATATTTACCTAAAAAATATTTCTTTTTCTTGACTATTTTTTAAAGGTAATTCATCTAAAAATGCATATATTTTCATGAAATCATGGGTGAAAAATGGATGTTGAAGTATATGAGATAATTCAGTTCGTAAAGAAGGATCTGGATTTTGCAGATTTTCTTTGCAAAATTGTTTAAATTCTAAAAGACTGGGTACATCGGCTAAAATAGAATAAAACATTTCCTATTTATAACTATTCTAGATAAATTATAATTTAAATTATTCGTATATCATTTACCTGGATCCTTTAATTTTAATGTATCTTCTGCTAAAACTCCAAATGCATATACATCAATTGTTCTAAAATTTTTTGAAATGAAAATTGTATCTTCATTAGAAGATATTGCTTTTTCATATCTATACTTTCTTATTCTTTGCAAATAAAAAGAAGTTAAATCTTTAAATTTACATAAACATTCTAATCCACCAAGTTTCCAACATCCTTCTAGTGTAACATAAATGGAACTTTCACAAAGATTATTGTGAGACATATATGCTTTCTCATGAAGAAAAACTAATGCACGTAAAATACTATATAGGCCCATGCATATTTGCAATGTACTTTGATTTTCTATTGATTGAATTAAAGGTTTAACTTGTTCAGTAGCTAGAAAAAATTTACCACCTTTCGACCATGAAGAAACATACTTCAATATACAAGGATGTCTATATAACATTAAATTCTGAAACATATGTCTATTATTGTTGTAAACAATTATTTATTTAATTAAAATAATATCATTAAAAAAACTAAAAAATGAATGTATATAATATTTATATGTATAAAATTCTATATATGCAAAGTAATTAATATATTAACGTTAACCTTTGCAGCTTTTTCTAAAGGCGATGGATTTCCAAAATTTGCATTATAATGCAAAGATGGTTCACTGATAAATACTGAAATATTTTGTATATTATGACCATTCATATAAGCCATATAATGTATCCAAAAATCTGTTATTTCCACAGGTTGTTCATTAATTTTAAGCCCATTAAGGGCACTTTTTTCATTCCCCATTAATTTTGTTGATTTCTTGAGAAAAGGAATTTATACACTATATTATTATACACTAAGCAATGATTAAAAGAAATAATTAAATAACAAACATTTATTTTTTATTATAAAAAAACTTTTTTTTATTATAAAAAATTTTCTTATGATCGTTTTAACTTTTAACTTTAAAATACTTCACGGTGACGAATTATGATCAACTATTTTTAATACGATAGATGTCTCAGATACATGATATGACTGTAAGAAAATCTATTTCATCGGTTTTCTGTGTTGTATTAAAAATATATACTTTTATTGAATTTATTATACTATTTATTATTATTTAACATTAAAAAAATATTAAATAAAACATTTTTTATTTGAAAATTATTAAGATAAATTATATTAATATAAAAATTTTTTAATTTTAAAAATATAAAAAAATCTAGATTAATTATCTTAAACATTGCTAAGTATTAAAAAATAATGATTTATAATATTCATTTTATTTTCATTTTTTAATTATTTATATAAATTAAATTTTCAATATAAATGAATGAAATTATAGATACTCTATAAATTTAAAAATAATATAATAAATTTAAATTTAAAAATAGGTAGCGAGAGTCCATCATGTTATATTATTATATTATATTTTTTAAATTTACACAGAGTAATTTATTGGAAATATGTAATGTATTTCATTACTTTTTATAACATATAAATATAGTATTTAATAATATACATAATTTTGTTTAATAATTTAGTTTCAAATAGACTATAAAAATATACATGCATATATTCAAAATAATAAAAATTATTATAATTACATTTTAACATATATTATTGTAATATTTATATATTTGTATGTTTCATATATGAACAAATGTTTATTCATCTTTTCTAATGTTCGTTTCTAAAATATATAGCATTTCCACAAATTCTATGTTTAATTATAAATAATTATAAATATATTAAAATATATATTTTTTCTATTATTCAATATAATATATGTTATTTATTATTATTATTTGATTGCATTGTAATCGACAGACCCTTGCACCTGCATTTATTCATATTTTTCATATAAAATCCAAAAAAAAAACTACATCGCACACAAACGACAATAGGCAAATTAAATAAATTATGTAAGTTTTTGAAACATTTTCAGATACTTGCATATAAACGATTTCTGTATTATCATTTTACTTACTTATATCTCCTTGATCTTCTTCGTCATTCTTGTGTTGTCTACTGTTAAATATTTATTTGTAAAAATATTATTTGATCACATATGAAAATGATAATATATCATTATTATGATATGTATTATGATGTTAATAAAGTTAAGAATAAAAATATTGAAAATATAATGAAAATTATAATGGCGATTGTGATTATGGAATCGCACGTTATTAATCAAGAAAATAATGATATATCAAATTCATAATTAAAATAATAATGGATTTAATGAAAACGATATACATATATATATATATATATATATAATAATGATGATGATTAGTGGTTATTTTTTCAAATAATATCAATGTAAATGTAAAAAATAATATAAATATGAAATATTATAAAAAATGATAAATAAAAGAAACATATATAATGCAACAAATAAAATATTGATATAAAATAAAATTAATAATGATATAATATGATTAAGAAACTGAAGCAATATTAATAAGAGAATATTATCATAATTAATTACATTATAATAACATTAGCAATAAAAGAAATAATTAAAATAACATTATCTGTATACTGATGTTAAATCATTCTAATTTAATAATATTAATCTTATTAATTAATAACAAGAATAATGCTATATAATAAAAAATAGAAAGATTTATACTATTATTATTGAATTAGTATCATTGAAAGATTAATTAATTTCAATGAATAATAATAATAAATTTGAAATAATAGAAAATAATATATAATTATAAAATATAATTATTTCTTTTAAATTATTTTTTTTTAAATATCTCAAACTCAATATTTAAAATTATTGAAAAAATATAAATTAAGCATATTCTATATATAAATTTTCAAATATATGCCTTTACACTGATAATACATTTAAATATATTTAAATCGGATTATTAAATTTTGTATGAAAATATACGAATAAAGTAATTTAATCTATTAATTAATTATTATATATTAAATATTTATAATGTATTAGTTTATGTATTATATTTTAATTATTTAAACAATATCAATATATATATCTTAAAGGAAATGAAAAATTTTATTGATTTTTTATCGAATTGTAAAAAAAAATGCAATAAGCATATGCTATATAAATAATGAAATAGATTTGACAGTACATTGTTTTTTAGAGTTTTCATATATTTTAAATATGAAATAGAATATGAATTTTTAAAGAAATATCATCATTCTAAAAAATTAGTAAATATTAATTCCTGTAAATACTATTATTTATTTAAAAGATTAATTTGTTTATTAGTTTTCCTTTCTTTAATAATATCATTATTAGGATAAAGATATCATATAATTATGATGGTGATATCAACAAGGATAACAATGATAATTATAGAATTGAGGCAAAAGAGTTAATATAATACTAGTAATGATAATGATAATGATAATGATGATGATGTCATTAACAACAACAACAACAACAACAACATGATAACAATAATGATAATAATGATAATAATAATGGTAATGATAATAATGATAATCATAATGATTATAATGATAATAATAATGATGATAATAATAATTAAATAAAATTAAAGGAAATTTCTCTGGGCATTCACATAGAATACAATAACAATAATAATAATATTAGCAATAATAATGGTGATGACAACAATACTACTACTACTAATAATAATAATAGTAGTAGTAGTAGTAGTAGTAGTAGTAGTAGTAGCAGTAATAGTAGTAATAATAGTAGTAGCAGTAATAGCAGTAATAGTAGTAGTAGTAGTAGTAGCAGTAGCAGTAGCAACAGCAGAGCAACAGCAGCAGCAGCAGCAGCAACAGCAGCAGCAACAGCAGCAGCAACAGCAGTAGCAGTAGCAGTAGCAGTAACAGTAGTAGTAGTAGTAGTAGTAGTAATAGTAGTAATAATAGTAATAGTAGTAGTAGTAGTAGTAGTAGTAGTAGTAGTAGTAGTAGTAAAAGCAATAATTTTGAAAATAATAAAAATTTTTTGCTATAATAATGATGGATTAGTGGTAATATGTGGTAATAAATAATAACAATAGCAGCGGTAATAGTAACAACGACGGCGATGGTGATGATCATATATTATATATGTTGCAGTATAGTAATACAATAGAAATAATGATGATGATAATGATGACAATAGTATTACAAATAAAATAAAATTAAAATAAAATAATAATAGTTATCATAATAGTGCTTGAACCGCAACGAAAGCAGAGAATATACAATTCTTTTTCTACATATGTACGTTGCGACAGACAGTATAGTGATCTAGTGGAATTTTACTATACGCAAAAATTGAGCGCATTTCAAACTTCTGCAAGCGATACTTCTTGTAATTTCTTCATTTCTTCTAATAATTGATACTCTTTTTTGAGAGTGGTTAGGTCATGACAATATATTCAGTACTACAAACGATTGTTGCACTATTTATTTTTCACAAGCTTCACCATGACCGCACAATATATCAATAAACGATTAATGTACACGAACTTTTTTAAATGTCACATTATATTATGGGCAGAATCATGCAGATCTATACGACCATCGCATGAATATCCTTTTTTTTTTATAATTTTGATATACACAACAGTCTTTTTTATCGATCTGATTTTTTTCTTTTTTTTTTTTTCACTTTAATAATGCTCTACAAATAGTAGCAACGGTCGTGCAATATCTTTGTTGAACTATATTTCATAAAAATCTGGTTTTAATATTATCGTATACCACAGACCGCCGTCGTGTCCATACAGAAACAGAAGTCTTGTGCATGTATTTCATCTTCACAATTGATAATGTAATTAACTGATTCGCATGATCGATTGACATCGAGTGAATATACGTTGTGCGCGTCAGTCTAATATTTAACTTTTTTAATTTATTTATTTATTTATTTTAACTGAACAACGTGTTTGTGTCCCTGATGAAAATAGTAATCCATTGGGACTTTTTTAGATGATAACTATTCTCGATGATATCGATCAAATTTTGTTTAATTCTGGATATTTATCCAGATTATTTTCTGGATATTTGCCGTTTTGTTATTTATAGTATTTTTTTCGAACAAAAACAAATGTTCGATAAAAGCGATTTGTTTGTTAAGAATTCATAAAATATAATATATTTATGATAGTTTAATTCGATAGATAATTCGGAGCCTTGTATAATATTACCTATTTTTTCCCTTCTCAATACATCACGATTAAATTATTTTAACTAAATATGACCAAGTTATTAATTACGAATTCTAAGCTCGCAAGCCGCTTTAAATCGACAAATATAACATCAGTTGGAATTCAATTTGCTCCACGCGTATAGTTAATCATTATCATTTACCTTTCAATCGACGTCACATCATAATGTATGATTGTAAATTGTATTTTTCAAATAGTAGATCAAATATTGTTTTTCACAATTCATTCATTTTGTTGGTTTACTTCTTCCTTATTGTCATTTTCTTGTGAATTTACGTTTGGTTTAGCGCTTCCTTGTTGAGCACCGGAGTTACCATCGTTGATTTTATCATTGTGCGAATCTGTTTTTTCATTTGTATCCATTTTGACATTTCCTAAGAAGCAAAAATAAAATAATATAAAAATTTGCAATTTATTTATTTTAATTTGATTATTACTTTGATAATTGTTTATATAATAATTTGATAAACACAAACCTTGACCAGAATAATATTGTTGTTGCATCTTCATATTTCGTTGTTGCTGTTGTTGATGCAAATTCGATCTATGACGATTGATTTGAGATTGTTGTTGTTGTTGTTGTTGTTGTTGCATACAATTAGGTTGTTGCTGTTGTGTAGGATTATTCGGATTTGGACCCGGGGTAAATGGAACAACTGGTCTTTGAATAGGTGGTGGATATCTTTGTTGCGACGGTTGAATTCCAGCACGAGGAGGCATACCCATACCACGTATATTTTGTTGTAAAATCTATAATAATTTTGTCAATTAGTCTTTTCTTTTCTAAATTTTTTCTTTTTTTAAAATAAATATTATATGTACATTATCTTTTTGTTAATTATTTTCTGTGTAATTAATTATCTATTATTATCAATTTTACTAAAAATTTCTATTTTTTATGTTTTTTTTCTTTTAATTTATTATTATAGAATGATTTATATTTGATTTATATACATAT